AGATACAAAAATGAATAAAATATGGTATCTTCCCTTATAGAATTCCCAAACAGTTGGGAACAGAAGACATATAAAAAATAACTTTGATAGAGTAAAATAATCGCAACAGTAGAGATAATTGCTGGTTAGGATTGGTAGAAAGGGCACCTTACCCGGTTACTTGTTATAAAGCATAAATAGAAGTGAAGCAGGAGTGGAATAGGCAAGGCATGTTCTAGCCAGGATCAGGTACAAGATGGAGGAAGAGAGATACTAGCAGGAGAACTGTGCTAAGTTGTTTTGAGAGTAGCTTGCAAGAGAACATGACATAGAGCTTACCTTGTTGAGGGTGGGGCCTTGTTCCAGAACTCATATGTTATATGACCAAACTACTGCATGCTTTAAGCAGGGAAGGGGCATCTTTAAATTACTATTTACCGGGAAACTCCATGAACAGTGTAGAGCAGGCACTGGAGAAAAGCAATTTTTTTAGAGAAAAAAATAAGAGTTCCCAATGACGTGGATAGTGTTCAAGTGAGAAAGTAATTAAATACTGTGTATCAACTCAAAGGAGTCGAATGTCATGATTGTAGAGATTTAAGTATTACATGAAAGGAAATGGACCAAACTAGTAAGTTACTAGTACAGGAAACAGAATTTGTGATTCTTCTGCCCATTATGGTATGGACATTACAGATGAACTGTTTGAGGGCAGAGATACAATTTTGAGGTCATAGAGAGGTATCCCATGGATTAAATATTCATCAAGATGGAAAAGCCACAAATACCTTAAAATCATTTTGTTAACTGTTTGATGGCAGTCATGTTTTATTATGTTTATTCAAATAATGAAAAAAATAAGATTAATTTCTGAGTCAAGAAATGTGACAAAGTTAAAAGATACAGATACTCCTATAAATTAATATTTCTTTCAGTGTGTAAAATTTAAAACTCCCTGATCTAGTTGGTATTCCTTGTACAAAAAAAAAAAGAAAAGAAAAAGTAGTCACCTACTTCAAAGAACTTGGCTTGTGTGACTAAAATTATGTTTGAAAATACATAAACATACAGACTTTGGAAATACAATAATTGCTGAAAAAGAAAACACCAAGGGAATTCTTGAAATGCTCTTTAGTTTAGTTTTACCCGTAAGATGGCTGGGACAATAGATTATGTTTTGTTAGCCTAGAATTCACACACTCCTTTTTTGTCTTCCAAGGGTGCTTTGATCCTTATTTAAAAACCAGCAGTGAGAGGTTGGTCAATTGCATTTAAATCCACTTATCTATAATGTACAAGTAATGTAATCAGAGACTGGTGATGAAGCAGAAGAAATGGCTTAGTGGGATTTCTATCTGTAGAAGAACCATTTTAAAAGATAGCTTTCTTACTCTTGATAATGTTGACCTTAAATATTTGAATATGACTCAAATATTCATAATATTTTGCTCTTGAAAATAGTAACTCTGCTGAGACTGATTTCCACAATGGACTATTCCTACCCTGACAGTGGTAATGGCGGTGGTGTTCGTGGTAGAGACTGTTGATTTATTATTCCTTGAATTCTAATATCACTTTGATCTTTAAACTTTATCCTTTATTTGCTTTCAAGAATAAAAAAAACCATAAGTATTCTTTTTCAAAATATTATTTATCCTATTACAGAATTTTGTCATTTATCAAATATCTATGGGGTATAAATATGACATGAGATATCTCCCATTTTACTGATGTGGAAGTTGAGCACAGGAGAAACTGCTTCAGGTCACAGAGAAAGAATTTCTTGACTCAGTGACTACCAAAGAGTTGCAAAAGACTCAAGTCTTTCATCCAGTAGGGAGCATCTCCAGGGCATTAAGTGTATGATTAGAGCATCCAAATTTAGCAGCCCACTCCCTAACCCCCCAGGAAGGGAGTGTCACGAGTAGCCAATGATTTAATCACTGTACTTTATAATCACTGTGCTTCAGTGAAGACTGAGACAAAGAGGCTAAGGTAACTTCTGGGTCCCTAAACCCATGAATATGCTGGGAGTATGGAGTGTGCACAGGGCATAGAAGCTCCATGCCAACCCCTCCTCCTCATTTGGCTGTTGCTGTGTTGTATCTTTTATAATAAAACCATTAACTATAAGGCTATTGCTTTCCTAAGGACTGTGAATAATTCTAGTGAATTTTTGAACTTAAAGGAAGTGGCTTCCTGAAATTTTGTGGCTCCTCAAATTTTAGCCAGTCATTTAGAAGTATGGACAGCTTGGAACAGTGTCTGAAATTCGGAAGTGTCCTGGGAATAAGCCCTTCTACCTATAGGGTGAGATACTAACTCTCAGTAATTAATGTGAGAATTAAAATGAATAATAGAAAATCCAGTTGTTGGAGAATTAGAGAACTGGTCAATATTTGAACAATGTATTTGGTGTCAGAAAAAAAAATCTCAGTGTATTCCCTCCCAATATTTGCCTTTTGCCTTTTGTTACATAAGAGTCCCTCAGACTCTTATTTGTCACTTCCCTAATTTAATATCAGAATAAGACAATATTTTAAGTATGTGATTTTTGTTCAATGTTCATTTTTTTAAAGTAGCATTTTTATATCTTAACTGACCATTCACCCATCCAGAATGCTTAGATATATTTCTACTGGGCTTAGTCATCTGTGGATCACTGGTAAGACTGCTTCAGGCAAGAGTGCAGAGAACCAGTCATGTGGAAAACCCTTTAAATTTAAAGGTTGTTACTGATAGAAAGGGTAGGGGTTGTGAAAAATAAAACGGTAATTTCTGTAACTAATAATTTCTGCATAGAAAAACGGTTAGAAAGTAAGGTATGAAATGAAATTGCCTGAGTTCTAATTTTGGCTCTGCCACCTGTTAGTTATTTGTTAGTCTTTTACTTTTGCACCCAGATTCAGTTTCTTCATCTGTATACTGGAGATAATAGCAACATCTCCTCCATGATGTGCTTGTGAGGATTAAATGGATTAATTTAAAATTAGACAATATTTAAGATAGTACCTGATATACATAAACCTCAGTGAAGTTCAACTACTATATTGCTATTAGTATTATTTCTGTTATCTCTATTATCATAAGGATTGCTATTATTACACTAGTGGTAGTACACCAACTCTTTTAACATAATCAGTGACACAAAGTAGATATATGGCTTATAAGCTTTCCTGAGTACATATTTACTTAATATAAAAAATTATGTGTTTTTGAACCTTTATTTAATCAGGAGTTTCAAAGTTTTAGGAAGTACAAAAGTGATTGAACCAGTGTAAGATTTCTTGAGCAATGATAAAGAAAATGCTAATGAGACATTAGAGAAGAGATCAAATAGACTTGGAGAGCAAAAGGAATCTCTTCTGTAATGCAGAAACAGAACTTTGAAGGAAGCAAAGTAACCATTTGGAAATGAGAAGACTAAATGAAACACCAAAGGCCTAATCAAATAGAAGCCTCCATTGTAGATAATTGAACAGCAGAAATAAAAATGAAAGAGCATAGCATAGAAAATATACTTTTACACCATGAGCAGTATACAGCAAGATACTGGGGACAAGCATTAAATAGACTGACTCAATACACTAAATGCTACCATGATGGAAACATTCCATACAGCCCAATATCAGATTTATTCTGTCACTTTTAAAAATTGGTGCTTAGGATTAAACCCGTGACTTCTGCATGCAAAGCATGCATGCTACCACTGAGCTATACTTGTGGCCTTATCTCAATCTGAAAAGCCTCACTTACAAAGGAGATAAATGAGAAGTCCAAAAAACTCAAAAACTGTTAAGAAAATATGCATGAGTATCTATTAAGAATGGCTTCTAAAGTGAGAATCAAGATTAAAGTACCAGTTCTCTTCAGTATTGTTAGGTGTAGCTCTCTGAAGAGTTCAATGGTTGCTTCAGCAAACATATCTGATAGTTAGTTGTTAATTTTTTAAATAACAATACATTAAAAGATGTTTGTGTCTATCAGAATAGTACATTTTTTGTGTACAGTTAGATTTAAAACACTATTTTATGTTCTTATTCAACGTTGTTTTTCATGCTCCTTTTCTGTTCCATTCTTTGAACCATGGATGTAAACCATAATTTTTTAAAACTTCAATCCTATTTTCTTGTGCATTTAGATTGCTTCTAAGGGCATTCCATCCTTATAGATAAAACTCTTATCCATTCCTTAAGATTAATTTAAAACCTGAATATGGCAGATTACCTAGAATTATTGTATTCATTTAAAACATAATTTTATATAGTTCATAATTTTATATATATTCATCATTTATATAGGAAGCAAAAGTTGTTTTATGTTTGAAACTAAATGCATCTAAATATAAATCAAATATACAAAAAGTTCATTTGACCTGTTTATTTTCTTTGTGTATGTGTTGCTAATTCCTTATCCTAATGTCATATAAAATTGACTAGGACAGATTGGAGAAGTGATTCTTAATGTACACATTCTGCCAGTATCTCAGTGCCTTGGGTTGTTCAGAGGCACTATGAAAACAAATTTAATTCAAAGGACAAAAATATTAATTATTAGATAATAAGCTAAGACCATGCACCAGTAAATAAAGCTTGACGTTTTTCATCATAAATCACCTCTAGAAACTTTTCTTTTCTATCATAGATTAGCTTGTGCAATAAAGACCACTTATCCCCATCTTTCCCAACTGTTCCCTCTCGAGACGCTTTTGAAAAATTTTTAAATTACATTGAATTAAATTGAGTTTTAAAAAGTTTTCCTTTGCCTCTCTATCTGAATAGTACTCAAATGGACAATTCCTGAACTGTCTCTTTGATTTTAACCTATCATTGAAATTCCATTTTAACTGGATTTAGAAGTCAAAAGGTTGTGAATAAACTGAATCAAGTCACTCTTCTTTTTTATAAGGAATTTTCCTGCATTATTATGATATTTTTCACAAATGTTTTGTTTCTGGATTGTTTTACCTTTTATATATTATAATTTTGTCCTTTCAAGGCATTTAATATACTCTCTTTCAGTCTCTGTAGAAACGCTGGAAAAGAATTTGAAACAGATGGGAAGACAACTTCAACAGCTTGAGAAAGATTTGGAAACCTTTCCCCCTCCTGAGGACTTGCATGACAAGTTTGTGACTAAGATGTCCATATCCTTTTGATATCTAAATAAGTCACTATCAACTGAAATTACAATTTATTTAATGTTTTAAGTGTATTTGCATACCCAGAGATTATTCTGCAGTGCCAAACTGTAGAAGGTTAACCTTTGTCTTCTTGTAGAGAAACTAATCAGTCTGTTTATCATGAGTAATGTACTACGTGTTTCTGTTGTTTTTTTCTTTCCTTTTTATCTACTTGGATGATAATGTTTTTCCATCTTTTCCCTTCCATATTGCCTAATATCCTTCTAGTAGTCATGATAAAGAAAGGATATTAAAACTTAGTTTGAGGACGTTTGAATTTAAAGTCATGATATGATTTAATAACTTTTGAAATGAAGGAAACAAATACGGTCTCCATAAACTCATATTGTGACTATTCAGCTTCAAGGGTACGTATATATTAAAAATTAACTCATGCTCCACAAAATTTAATACTTCCTTTAGAAAGACATACATATTTCCAAATTCAAAATGGAGTTTGTCACAGTCCCTGCTTGTGTTTGTATTTTCCTAGCCCAAAATGAAATTGAGAGATACAATATGTAATATAAATTAATTGCGTGAGGTTTGTGTTTTTTTTGGTTTATGGTTTTCTGTGTGTTCAGTTATCTTTGTTATTACTAACTTCATGTTTTCTGTATTCAGTTATCTTTGTTACCACTAACTTTGTAATTTAATCTGTAATGAGTAACTGAAGCTATGAACTTTTTTCCCCCTACAACTAAAGGTTGGGTGGATTAGCAAACCATTGCATGAAATTAGAGATGGATACCTTTTGTATTGTAATGAAGTATTATTATAATACATTATTAAAATTCCATATGAACTTCTGAATTCTATATAAAAGGATAACCTACTTCTAAAATGGGTTCTTATACATATCCCTAATAGTTTATTTGAAACTGATGTTCTTGAAATAAAATTACTTATTTCATCTTTTTCTTTCCCCTTGAGATGTAGTGAATCACAAAATTATTTTTCGGCTTATCATGGATTTTATTGTATATTGTTTCAGCTTAATTGTGAATTAGTTCAATTTTAACTTCTGTCCCTTTCTCTGTTGGAAAATACCATAAAAATGCATTCCAGCGACAATCAGTTCCTTTTGAATCTCCCCTCCCCCTCATCCAGTTTCTTATTAAGCAGGTGCCTTTATCACTACACTGGGTAAAGCTTTCTTTTTCTTCTTTTTTTAAAAATAAGTTGAAGTTTGTATTTGTCCATCAAAAATACATTTTTGTAGTACCTTCTCATTTAGCAAAGTATGCTTTTTAAGAATGAATATGTTATTGGAGAGTCCTATCAGTCTCATCATTCTTAGCTTTTTCCCCCATTTCACCATTTTAAAATATTCAGAAGTGTCAGTTTATTGTTTTAAGTATTGTTAACTGCAGTACTTTTTGTTTACCTTAGATAGAAAGCATTTTAGAAAACGATTTTGGTTATATATAACTTCTGGTAATACGCTGTGAGTGCACTGATTACAGGGTTACAGGGTTTCTTGACCTGGCATGAATTCCTCAGCCAAGAGTAAAGGCTGTAGAAATGCTGTTCAGCAGACTATCTCAGGATATATCCATACTCGTATTCCTGTGACACTAGAAGCTGGATGATGTGGGCTTCTTGATAGGTATGCATTTCATAAAAAGCAGCAGCAAGAAATCAGAAACAGGAAGGATGATGCTTTGTTGGAAACAATTTTTCATTCTGCGTACAATTATACTCCATGGACAAGAAAGCCACATATCTTGTCGCTAAATATCACAACCTAGAAGCCTCTAATGAACTGATTAGCATTCATGTATCTCTTGGAAGTCAGATATATGAACAGTTGGTGCACTTTGCTATTGACAAAGCTTATAATCATAAATATTCTTTGCCGAGATTAGATTGCTCTTGTTTGCTTTTCATCTTAGTTAGACATACTAGTTCTGAAGTAATTAAATTCATTCATTGTAAGACTTTGTTTACTTTAATTAGGAATGACAACAAGTCAGATTTTGAATATTAAATACATTTATACAGACCTTATTAAAATGGCAAATCGCAAGCTTCTCAGGTCTTAGGAAATGGAAGCTAAAATGCACAATGAATCAAAATTTATTACATAAAGTATGTTATTATTATTCAAATGTTGTGATTTATGTTTAAATACTTATTAGTTGAAGCACATATCAAATGTTTGGTTCATCAACCAATTCTGAAAGAATCTGCATATTATTTAATTTGTTAAAATATGTCTTTATATGTACAAATTTACTTTAAGCAATCATGATTTAGTGAGCCATTAAAATCTGTTAATTCAATTGTTTTAAATTACAAAAGCCCAATTTTGTTATACTATGAAATTTCACTAATGGCACCCAATTGTATTGTATTGGGCTTTTATTCTTCCAGGGCATGCTCACTTTCTACACTACTTCTTAACATAAAAAATATGAATTTAGTACCTCCTTTAAAAGGCATGCACAATTATTTCATATTTCTTTGACTTTTTCATACGTTCATTTTCCAGTTTTTAAGCCTGGTCAGAACTTTTAATTAGTTGAATAGTTCCACAGTAAACATTTACTTGAAAAATGTGAAACACAATCTTGAAGTGGGGTCATCAATATTGTTATATGCAAGCTATTATATGTGATGTGTACATACTTATTAAATTCTTATCAGTGAAAAACTTAAAATGCCAGGATTTAAGTCATGCAGTGTCTGTTCCTGTCTTTTGACCTTTAATTTCTGTAATATTTCTCATTTTAAGAAAAATAACAAATAGAGCATGCCCTTGGAATTCTTCTTGCCTCTCTATTTTCTCCTTACTCCCTCTGCTGAGTCTTTTATAAAAAACCGTTTTGCTAGATTTATATATTTTTGTATTTATCACAACTTCTGTGACAAATTATTTGACTCTTTCACACAATTTGTTTTTTTTTTTAATTTCTTCATTGAAATCCCACTTTACTTTCACGCTTTCTTTTTTGTTGTTGCACTGCATAGCAATGTTTTAGGCACTTTTGAAATTACTGTGTACTTGCTAAAATTATCCCAGTAAATTCATTTAGAGACATATCTATGTTCTGCAGTGCATAAAGTTCAGCCTTTTGTAGGTAAAGAAATTTGAAACATTTTTCTTTAATTGAACTGTGACTAGAAAGTAAAATAAAATATTGGCATGGGAATTTGCAAGAGTGGGAAGCTGAGTAAATGAGTCATTGTAGCACATTTTTTCTTCTATTGAACTAGATTTCTTCCTCTCTTGTTTCTCTCTTTTTCTGGTCTTTCTTACCTCTCTTCTACCTAACACGTTCCTTACAAATATTTACGATTTGAGTTCAATATCCTGCTCCTCATCCTTTATGATTCCTTAAATTTATGATGATCTTTACATATTCCGAGGTCTTATTACACTTAACAGAGGATACTATATAACTTAATGCTTTCTCCATTGTTTCAGTCAACCTTACCTTTTTAGCAGGATCATTGCTCAACCTAACTTAGCCTCTGCCACTCTATATAGCATCAAAAACTTATTTTCTTCCTCCTATTTATGGCTATGTGAAATTCTTATCCACTTATTGTCTGTCTTCACATCCTAAAATGTGTGTTTCATGACTGCAGAGAATTTGCTTGTCTTTTTAATTGCTGTTGTCGCTGGTGTCAGTTGCTTAATAAAGTCATGGCCATCTTTCTTGGTGAAAGTGCAATAATGAGGGGATAGATGAAGAATAAATGTGGAATTTTTTTTCAGTAGGTAATTTCTGAATAAGCAATACTGGTAGAGCAGGACAAGAGTACCAATTCTGAGGCATGTACCTACACTGACCAATGGTAAATACATGACTCCTTGCATGTAAACACAGATCTGGTTGCCATATAGCTTTCAAATAGAAGACTATAGTGATCCAAGTAGAAAATAATGAGATTTTGTCCTTAACTTTGATAAAGGTAAAGAAAAAAGGAACAGATTTTTCAAAATATCAGATAAGTGGAATATATTTTGTGCAGTGAATTTTACCAAATGTTTATTTTGTTGAATGTCTCACATATTTTTCTGAAGATCTTTATCAATATAAAACTTGATGATGAGAAAATATAATTAAAACCTAAGTACTGTTGACATGAGTGTAACTTTTATTTTGAGTTTAACAGTTGGAATAAGAACATTTATATTTGTTTTTTCTTTTGGGTGATGATGATGGTTCTTTATCGGGATGTTTCAGCATTCCTAAGTAAGAGAGTAGGCCATCAAAACTGATGTAGTGTGCCTTCTTCATCCACCAGTCATTCCATTCTATCAGACAGTCATTTTAAACTTCTAAGGATTTAGTTATTTCCAAAATTGTTTCACTTTACTCATAGTTTTATCATTCTTGTGGATAGTTCCAGGTATTCAAAGCTCCATTTCCTTTGGGAGCAAATTGTTTTATACAGAATAATGATAAGAAAATTAACTTAAATGCTCCCTGGCTGTTAGAACAAAACGGTGTCATTTCTGTAGTTGTAGCTCTCCATCATCTTTCCCATTGCATCTTTTAATAGAATTGTACTGGTTTTCTTATATGCACAGATATACTTCTTATATTTTGTTACTCATGGTACTTAGCTGAGAATCTAAAGATTGTTATCACTTTATTTTATCCTGATTACCAACCAAGTAGTTTTTGTTTTTTTTGTGTGTGTGTGTGATACTGTGGCTTGAACTCAGGGCCTACACTTTGAGCCACTCCACCCATCCTTTATGGTGAAGATTTTTTTTTTTTTTAAATCAGGATAGGGTCTCATGAACTATTTCCCTGGGCTGTATTTGAACTGTGATCCTCCTGATCTTTGACTTCTGAGTAGCTAGGATTACAAGTGTGAGACATCGGTGCATAGAACATATACTACTTTTTGTGAAGTTTCTGTTAACACTCAAAGCATTAGAAGCAGAAATGGGAGCAAAAAAGAAAAAAAGGATTGGCTAGCATGTTCTCTCTCATTTGTGGAATATAGACCTAACACAAATGTAGCAATATTATGAAACATTGGTCACACTACAGGATGTCACGCACGAAAGGGGTAGGGAAACTAAGAACTTGAGTAGGGTTGATATACCCACTATTCAAGAATGAATATTGAAATCTTAATCTGACTGAAACTACCAAAAGAAGGGGTCTAAAGTACAATGAAGAAAATTAGAGGAGATAAAGGAATTGGAGTTATAATACATGGAAATATTACAAGGAAACACCCTGTGTATTATCTCAAAGCTAAAATGTCATGTTTTTCGTTTTATCTTTTCTCTTTTTTTCACCTACAAAATCAGAGAACAGGAGAGCGGAACAAGTTCTGCCCAGGAGGGAGGGTTGGCACCAGTGGCGGGGGTGGGGAGGTGTGGGAAAAGGGGATAGGAGGGTGAATATGGTGCAATAAAATGTGTACACATGTAAGTAAATGCAAAAATGATACCTGTTGAAACTACTTCAGGAATTGGTGGGGGAAGGAATGAAGGAGAACGGTTGAGGGGGTAAATTCATACATAATATATTTGATACATTGTAATAACCCATGTAAATGCCACAATGTACCCCTATCCATCAGAACAATAAAGGAAAAAAAACAAAGGTTGTCTATGGAACCATCTAATTAGAGGCACTAACTAAAATAGTGTCCTCCACATCTTTTCCAGGGTAAATGCTTTTCAGGGATTCTGTTAGCTCTTTGCAATATATTCAAATTGTGTACATATATGTGCATATGTGCAATTTTATGGTACAAATTTCAAGGCTTTTCATTGGACAGTTTTGAAGATACTTGTTACCCTTCCCAACAAAGTTTAAGAATTCTCTACTAGAGTGAAATAAGCAATTAGAGGCAATGTCATTTGAGGTGGCTAGACTTGATACAGTGAAGAAGGTGGAACAGACAAAATGAACAGACAGAAAGAAATGATAACACTTGGCAGAAATGTGGTAAGAACAAAGCCCTCCTGAAGAATTAGACTAGAATGGAAAGCTTTCAAATTGATTGCAGATCTGCCAGTAAGAAGTATTTCCAGAGTAGTACAATGGGCTACAAACATCATGACTCCAGTGGAACAAAGGATCATTCATAGGTATAGAGAGAACAGGAACTCCTCATGGAAAGGAAGAATTAAATCCTTAATTGCTGGGCACTACTAGCTCACACCTGTAATCCTAGCTACTCAGGAGGCAGAGATCAGGAGGATCCTGGTTCAAAGCCAGCCCAGGCAAATAATTCAAGAGACCCTATCTCAAAACCCTTCATAAAAATAGGGCTTTTGGAGTGGCTCAAGGTAAAGGCCCTGAGTTTTGCAAAAAAACAAAACAAAAAAAGAAATCCTTGATTGATGGGTCTGAACAAGAAAAAGGAGAAATGAGTTTCTCTTTAAAGTAGGATTTAAAAATATCCAAATGATTCCTGTAGACATACTCTATTTGGGACATAAATAATTTTAGCTGAGGTTGTTACTTTTTTTTTGATTAGGTAAACCAATTTATAAATCTCTTGGTATCATACTAAAATTGACCATACCATTTAGTTTCTTAGGCATTTCCAATGTGATCTTTATTTATGTGAATTTACCTATATGACTTCATAAATATTGGTATCATCAATGAAAGCCTATCTTGTATGATTCTATTCTTATGGTTTTTCTGATTTGACTAATTATATAAAATCTTTTCTTATTCATCCAAGATAATGAATACACACACACATTATTTATCAGTCACTGGCACTACTATGATCTAGGATTCTAGAAAGTTTAGGGAGAAGTTTGCTATTCAGATGAGTTCTGTATAAGCCACATACAGAACTATACATTTTCTTAAGGTCATTAAAAAGAAAAATTCTCGCTTTAGCATTTACATTCCCTGCTCACTAGTATTTTTCTTCAAAAATACTACATGTAGTACTAAGTAGACCATAGTATGAAAAGAAACAGGAATAGAAGGGAAGCAGATACTGTGTGGAATGAGTCTAGAGTAGTGAACAGGTGAGCTTTCATCTACTGGAATGCCTTATTGTCTGTGGACAGGTTAGGTTCTAATAGCCTGTTTCCATATGGCCTGGCTTTACTCTTTCCCTGGCAGCACTGCTATCTCTCCTCCATTGATTTTTTTTGTTGTCTCAAAATGAAAGACCTGTCTCCATTTCTTTATTTCATCCTCTGCAGAGAACAGCTCTAATCAGAAGAACCATATCATTTTTGAAATTGTGAAAAATGTCCCTTTTAGATACACGCAGTTCAATTTTTTTCTCATAGGCTGAATCCATTTGTTTTTAATTGGGCTAATGAATGTTTATATGTTTGTATTAGTCAAAGATAATAAGATAACTTCTGTAAGTTTAGCTGTGTTCAATTTCTTTAAATGTTTCAACTTAAAGTAGTCATAGGTTATGACTGATGCTCCAGGAGGCAAGTTTTCAGAATGTGGTGTGGCAATTTTGTATCTGACAGCATCAGTAATTTTTTTACACAATGAAGGAAATTCTGTGGTTTGCTTAGAAAATATTTTCTACTACTACCAGTGACTGTTACATTCACATTTAGTTAGTGACTAATTCTCAGTGTGCTGTGAAATATGACAGAACAATTCTGTGTGTGCCTGTATGTGTGCCTTTGTGGGTACAATCATCATTTTAATCATGTAATGTACAGAAGAAATTATATATGAATTTTTCAAAGAGGAATTTAAAACATTAATTTCCTTATGTAATGTTAAAAGTTTTATAATTAACACATGTAACTTATTGATTTAGGACTTCATAAGCTTAAAATGAGTAAGAAGGAAATAATAACACCAAGTGTTTATATGATGCACTAAATGCACAGTCACTTTCCTAGAAGGCTGCTAATGTTGACTCATTTGCTCCTTACAACAGCACTATGAGATAGGTGGTCTTATCAATACCGTTTCGGATAAGTACTGATTTTATGGATAAGAAAATCAAGGCAAAGAGAGGTCAAGGCCTTGTCCATAGGCACCAATGTGTAAGAGCTCTGAAGTGATACCATGCTGTCTAATTCAACTGCTTTATTCAGTGCTTATGTTATGAATTTCAGTGTTATTCCAATTACTGAATCTTAACAACTGAAGTATAATTTTAAATTTATCACATAATTTTCATGATATAGATTATTATGATAATGAAGAGAAACAGTAAATATATAAGCTAGTTTTTTGCAAAAGTTAGAAATTGACATTAAGATTTAATTGCTATACAATATAGACTCTCTTGTAAGAATGGGGAATTCCAGAAGTGGTGTTTTGGAGATGTAGTAATAGTGACTAAAATTTAGACTAAAATATTGGAGTTGCGGATGTTTTTAATTTCTTCAAAAGCATTAATTTGTAAATCTCAGAATACCTTAACTATATTATACAGCTTTGTTATTAGTGCAAAAGTACAGCATGAGAAACTTTCAAAGTTACTTGAAAACATGGAAAGATTGTACCAGAGCATAATGGAATATTATGCCATTGATGTGAAGAAGGTATCAGTGGAAGACTTTTTTTCTGACTTGAGTAACTTCAGAACTACATTCATGGTATGGTAAAAAATTTAAATTGTTTTTTATAGAGTAATTTTATACTTTATCACCTATTTTATTTCAGTACTTTATTCTACTCTTGTCAGCAGTCGAACTTTTCTGATGTTGAAAGTTAGCTTTAAAAATTTTAGATTTTAAATCTATTGAAAAATGTGTAGTTTGTTCTCTATTTGGTCTTTCCAACATTAAGCTGTAATCAGAAATTTTGATTGAAAAAGTGACAAATTCTGAAGTTTTTCATAAAGACTCCCTTCTGGCTGATTACAGAGCACTTTTGTAATAACTTTTTGGCTATAAATTTGTTTCTTTATCCTTAGGATCGATTTGTATTTTTGTGGTATAATTTTACCAAATTCCATGCAGCTCATATGAAGCTTTTTTCCCCCTTTTCTTTTCTTAATGCATTGTACAATAAGCTACCTGTGACTTTCCTTTGAATAGATTTTACATTCCTAGGGTTTCCTTAGATACTTTAATAGGGAGGTCAGGTCTTTGATGTGGAATCCTTTCATTTAAGCATTAAAAAGATCTTTTGAAAAGTATTAGCTGATGAGATGGGGAAAAAACACACACACACATATTAAAGTGAGAAGGCATTGTTGTCTCCCTAGGGAAATTGGTGATACATTCCTACAAGGAAAAAAAATGTTATTCTTAATAAATCGGTAAGTCATTTCTATATTTCAGCAAATGTTTGTGAGGATTAAAAAGTTTTGAAGTGTAAAGAAAAAGAAGATTGAATTTAAAGAACTGGTTCTTTTGAGTCTCAGGAAAACTTCATTGCTAACTTTATCGAACTAGGTTATAATCACTTAGGAATGGTTAGGTAGCCTTTTAATAAAAACCCACCATTTTAAAGAAAACTAGTCTACAGCAAACACATTTTATTCACAACTCATTTATTGCCTTCATAAACTCAAAGTGATTCTCTAAATTAATTTTCACTACCAGATATGAATTTAGTTATTCTACTTATGATACACCTGTATGGGTCATGCCCTGTACAATGTATTATTTATATTGTATAAAGATTTATGAGGCAACATGACCTGGCGGAAATAAAGTGCTAGATTTGGATTCCACAGTAGTCACGTGGATGTAAACATATGTTCCTTAGCCTCATTTTCCATGTTTATGAAGAGCATATTAATTCCTTTTTTGGGAGAATGTATAAGTATTAAATGAGGTAATATATTAAAAGTGTTTATCATAGTTTTGAGCACAGCATAGTTGCTCAATAAATTTTGCAGTAAAGGACTGATTTAGCAGGCATATTGATTCAGCATGAATCCTTCATATTCCAAAGAAAGAACTGGCCCTTCACTGGCTCCTGAGAGACCACCTTGAAGCTCTTGGAATATCATGCCTGAGTAAAGGGTGTCTTTATATACCTGGGACCTTGGATCAACCTAGAGGAAATATGCTAACACTATGATTTATGGTGAATACTTACTTTTGTTCACTGGGTGCCCTAGGCCATGCTATTTCAGTGTGACTTATTAAGGGGCTGTAGACTGTGTAGCTTAAGTCAATCAGGCAGGAAATCCATTGAAAAATCTCAACACTGCTGCATGTGGTGGCACACACCTATAAGTCCAGCTCTAGGAAGGTGGAGGTAGAAGGATCAGGAGTTCAAGGCCAGCCTAGGCTACATGGTGTGACCCTGTCTCAAAAGCACATGACCCCGAAAAATCCTTAAGACCAAATTTTGGGTGAGCTTCTCTGGTTGGCTGTGTACTTCCTTAGTACATGTTGTCACATGTTTAGCTGTCCTGGGATAGTGACATACTGTTGGACTCCATTAGGAAAGGACAACTACAAGGTTGCACTTGGATTCTCCAGGACTCTGTCCTGTGCAATTTTTTCTTTATTGATTTTAATCTGTGTTGTTCCACTGTAATAAACTGTATGTGTGAATATAATAGTTTTTCTGAATTCTGTGAATCCTTCCAGCAAATCAACAAACCCAAGACTGGTCTTGGGCACCACTGGCATAATTACAGGCAAAGTACACATGGATTTATGAAGTGATTCCCTCCATACAATGAGTCTTTTCTTTGACCCTGGCACTCTTCTAAGTGCCTTACATACATTATTTCAGCCAACCATCAGAGTAATTCTATAATTTTTGGCTGTTAGCAGATAAAGAATCTGAGGCACAGAGACAGAAAATTTCTAGCTCAATAGCATGTTACTATAAACTTATGGAACTGTAGCCTACACCATGCTGCTTCCTGTGTCCTGTACTCTGTGTTCCATGTTGTAGATAAGAGCACTAAAATTTGGACGGGTTCCTAATGTCATCAAAGGGATACCATTTGTAAATATTTCAGTTTAGAATTTTAATCCAGGTCTAATTCTATATCTTCCCAAGATCTAAAGGATTAGAGGGCTTTGGGGAATTCCGTGGGTAAGTTGGCATGTCTGTTAGCAAAAAGTGGGTAGAGAGAGGTGTTTGAATGAGAGAAGGGTGCAAAAAAGTGGGTATCAGAGTGACTGCTCTGATTTGCCTGAGTTCTCTTAGGTCCTAGAAGTAACTGCTATCATACACTCATGTACACACTATAGTAAATTACAGTCATTAGTGTAAATTTAAAACATTTAAAAAAATGTAAATATATAATTAAGATAAGAAATTTTCCTTATGATAAACATAAGCATAAAGAAAATTGGAACTGGGAACCATAGTTCATTCCTATAATCCTAGCTACTCTTGAACTGGAGATTGGAGTTCAATGCCAGCCATGGCAAAGAAAAAGTTCCAGAGACTCCATCTCATCCAGTTACTGGGCACAGTACAAATAGGAGATTAGGAGATTTGCAGTCCAGGCCAGTCAGGGCATAAAGCGAGACCCTATCTATCTCAAAAGTAAGCAAAGCAAGCCTGTCTCAAGCTGTAGAGCACCTGCCTAGCAAGCACAAAACCTTGAGTTCAAACTCTACTACTTTCCCCCCAAAAAAGTAATCTCAAAAATAAGCAAAGAAGAGAAGGCTTTGAGGTGTGACTCAAGTGGTGAAGTGCCTGTCTAGCAAAAGAGAGGCTCTAATTCAACCCCCAGTACAACAAAAAAAGAAACAAAAAAATGGAGAGGAAGTGATTACATAAAGCTGGTGAGATTTCATGTAGGTGTTTTATTCTTTTATCTTTTGGGGGGAGTTTGGAGGGGATAAATGTGATCATACTACTTTAAATTTTAAACAAAATAGTTTTAGTAAGTTGAGAGTATTAATTTTGGCAAAAACTTAACAAATCTCTTGTTTTGTAAGAATCTTCTGATTCTTTTAAGGTTGCTATTTAATTCCATAGTATTCAACTTTGGGGACTAGATTAACTTAAATGGTCAGTGTGAAATATTAACCTCATAGCTACAGATATAGAATTTTAATGTGTTGAAAGTCTGTTTTGGAAACTCATGGTAATACAGTAGGTGAAAAATGTTTTCAGCCAAGTATGGTGGCACCTGTACCTATAATCCTAGCACTCTGGAACTGAGGCCAGAGAATCACAAGTGTGAAGACAGCCTGGTCTACCTAGCGAGACCCTGTCTTTAAATTACTTTAAGAAGTACTGTTTAAAAAGTTTCCATTGTCTCTTCATCCACTGGCATGTATGATGAATAAGTTTTATTTTATGCTCCATAGAGGAATGGAAACTCTCTCAAGTTCAGGCCAGTCTGCACAGTCTCCTATGCCTGCAACACTCCCTCTGTACTGGCCTGGCTAAGTTATCATACTTACCCTCTGATCTCTGCTCAGACTTTAAGTTCTATGTATTTTCTGTTTACCTTTGTATACATAGTGCAATTCATAACATTTAATAGATAAATTTGTTGAGCAACAGATGATAAGCAGGTAACAGGCTGTAATCCACAATGTGTAGATCCTGTGCCAGATGCTATATTCACTCATTTAAAACATACTTCAATCAGATGTAGCATATATACTGCCATGCCCATTTTACAAATGAGAAGACCAATGCACAGAGAGATCCTGACTTCAATACACAACTAGCAAGGAGTAAAGGTGCTAACCCAGGTTGACATGGCCCCAGAGACTACACCAAATAGGGCCAAACTATGTAACTGCTAGAGCTCTTTCAAACATACTAACTTGAGCCCTAACTTCTTGCCCCCAAAATACAATTTGTGCCCATTTTTATTTGTAATAGTAATTTGTAAATAATTTATCCAAAAATATTTATACTCTAGGTTTGTCTCAAAATTTAATCCTAACAGGGCTTAAGATTCAAAGCCGTTTACTCTCCCTCTGACTAACTTACATGATCTCTCTCAAGTATTACCAGGATCTCACAACTAATTTGTGTACATATAGCTCTTCAGATGTATCTTTTTATTTCACAAGAGCCTTGTTATAGTAGCTAAAGAGGCAACATCTGTCACAGACTGCTGTTTCAAACCATGTAGACCAAGGGGGGAAATTTTCAAAGTCCAGTAGCTTCCTCTGAAGAACAGCTGTTCATATTGACAGCAATTTAACTTGCCCCTCTTCCACTTGTGTTCTCAACTGAGAAATAACTTTTGTTGTTGTTGTTTTCTTTAACAGTCTCCTATAGGTAACATGCTTATTAGGAATGGTTCTATTTAGAGCCATTGATCTACCTTATCAGAAATGGGGAGTAACTTTGCATTGTAATTTCATTTAGTTTTTTTTTTTATTAACAAACCAACAAGATAAAACCAAAAACAAATGCACTGATGGAGTACTTGTTTCTTGCTAGACTGCAGGTTATGTGCTTGACCTGTAATGTCCCCCTAGTCTTCATGATGTTTTTGTGGGGTGTAGCATGTTGCAGTTGAGGTAACTGTAAGGCACAGAGCCTTTGCTTTGCAAAGATAGCACAAAGTTCCTGGGAACTAAGGCTGAACTGATGCCTGCCTGGCTGCAAAGACTGCTTTTATCAGCTTCAAGACACTGCTGCTCAGAGAGTTTATAAGAAAATTCAAGGCTGGAATTATTTTTTCTTTGATGATGCTGGC